TCGGCAAGGCTATAAAGCCCGCGACTACAAAAGTCGACTCAAACAACTACAAAGTTGTATGCCTCGAGCGAAATCTCGGCAAGGCTACAGAGCACACGACTACAAAAAACGACTTCAAAAGTTGTCTCAAGCCTAACCCGTCAAGGCTAAAATGCCTACGGCTACAAAATCACTTTAAATAGGTAAGCAAATGGGACGTCGATAAATCTACAACTACGAAGTTGTAAGACTCGATGAAAGCGTGAACACAACGTTGCGGGAACGTGATAACTTAGGCAAAGATACAATGAAAGATAACATTTAAAATAGATTCATTACAAGAATCGTCTCAATCTTTGCAATTTGAAAAATCAGATTGAGACCAGAATAGACAATAAGAATAAACGACAAATAAAAGGCAATAAGCCTCGAAAGTATAACTAAGATATAACATCTTTGTCGCTCCCCTCAGGGATGGCCACGACCTGATCTTCATGACTGGGCCCGTCAGGATGGATGGGGGAAGGCAGGGGAGCATCCAGATGATAAGTGAGCCTAGCAACTTGGATAGCATTCGCCTCGAGATCAGTCCACTAGGGGTAGTTGTCCGGAAGGGACGGATCGCCTTCATAACCATCGGGGTCGGGAAGCGCACGCCTCATTGCCTCCCGATCGAGTTTTCCAGCAAACTCAGATCCCGCCACCACAGCCTCCCATGTGTCCAAAGCATGATCGAAATATTGAACGGCGGCAGGGTAGAGCTTGTCGAGGAACTCAGCAGAATTGCAGAATGCCTTGACGACTTCCTTACGATAGGCATTGACAAAGGCAGCGCCTATACCAGTCCTTAAGAACGACTTTCGGCCCTGAACGATGCCGATGTCCACCTCATACATGTTCGCCTCCTGAGCCTTCTCAAGGTCGGCTTGGAGCTTCTCGTTGTCGTGCAGGGTAACGGCTTTGTCGGCTTTCAACTTGTCGACCAAGGCTTTGGACCCCTCCAGCTCTTTCTTCAACTGGGCAATCTCTCTAAGTTGTGCCTCGCATTTGTCCTCGAGTGCCTTAGTAGAGGATGAGGGGGCTTTAGTACCCGCTTTGAGGCCAGGGAGAGCGGCCGCCAAGAACTACACAGAGAAACAAATACTGAAATACAGAAATACGCAAAACATAAACGCTTAACTAAGAGCAAAACACATACCCGAGTAAGACATTGGGTAGCGTAACAAGAGCGTTCGTACTCGTTCCCCTCGACACGAGCCTTATCGGCCTCGGGGAGCACAGAGTGGAGGTATTCCGCCACCCTATGCGGCTCTGGATGATTCCAAAGACGAGGCGGCATCTTGACCAACACGTACTTGTAAGTAACGGACGATTCCGTTCGCTTAAGAGTACCATTTGTTAGAGGTATGCTGTAAAAGCTGTGTTTTGTAGTTTCTATCAATTCCATTTT